CATCCCACAAAATTCTCAGCGTGCGGCCCCTACATGCATGGGTGGCCACCAGCCTCAACTACCCTGAAATTTCTCAATAGGATGCCACTCCGTGCGTGCCACAACTAACTTGAGAAGAATTCCCTCAAAAAAAAACCTGAAAAGAATTCTCAGCTAGTGCGACGAATTAAACTACACACTTCCAAACACCTTGATTCTTACACATACATACTACATACTACATACACCTCCAGATACAAAATACTACATACTTCGTACTCAAACAGAAACAGCCGACTCCATACTACGAACTCCAACAGGAACAATCTTATTAATACTCCCTATAATTCCGTACCATATTTATAATTTCATCTACATGTATACTACTAATCCATGGTCGACTCTCTTCACATGGTCATTCATACTACATACTTCGGTCATATAGTGAAAAAAAGAAGGACTACATCCTATACATATCACGTAATTCGACCTCTCAATCGCCATGAAGTTTTGCAGCTGACATCGATTTTCCAACCAGCGAACAACATAACACAAGAAAAGGGACAGTCGGCTATAAGAAAAAGGGACAGTACAAGAAGAAAATACCAATGATTCTGAATCGTAATTCACAATGTTCGTACAAAACCAACATGACAGAACATTTTATTATATTCATCCATCATGGAAATACATTGACAATGCTCAAGGGAAATACGTCTTCACTACTGCAATTTAAATTGAATGAAATAAAACCTATTACTTTAACTAGACTGTCCTATCTTCATGACGCCAAGTCTTCTAACGAGAAGCACGTCCACAAGTTCTCCTATTGTGGCCCGTCAAGCCGCAAGCCATGCACCGCCTAGGCGCGAAACCAGTACCGCGTCGACGTTCGTCCAGTTGTCGCCGGATCAACGAAATTAGTCTGCCATGCATCTCAATTGTGGTCATCAAATGGTCGATCCTCCCAATAACTTTCATCATGCGCTAGTAGTGACTGCCACAAAAAAACAAATGAAATCACCAACTAGATATAAACTTACTAGAATACGTGTACACACAGATTAAGAATATACTTACTCAAGGGAAATGGTGATACTTTGATTCTCGTCACCGGCGGGCTGCTCAGATCCAATGCGTCCACTCTCTTCACCGGCGGGCTTCTCGAATTCATCAGCTCCGTCCATACTACCAAATAGAAAGATACTACTCTTTAATTGTAAACTAATCTGCTGCTGTATTTGGCGTCTGGAACGAAATGTGTAGGCCCTCTTTATAGGGCTGCGTGAACCCGTGATTAGCGAATTAGTTGCTCGTACCTGCCCACCTACAACCAGGGAATGCTTTATCTAAAAAAACTCCATCGAATAATTAAAGAAGCTTCCGGGTTAACGGGTTCTGCCCACGATCGCTACATCCTACACCCGGCTGGATTTCTCGTACCTGCGGGACACGTGGAGACCAACGAGGGAGGGGGTAACTACTCCTGGTAGTAGATAAAATATGTCCTATATATATATATATATATACATATATATATATATATATAGGGAAAATCCATCCTACCACCTGGCGGTAGTTACCCCACATGTCTCATATACTACCATGTGGTACTATATATATTATTTTATTATTTTAAATATGTATATATAATATATATAAGATATTTCAAAGCAAGTTATATGAAAAAATTACATATGAGTCCATAGTTTTTGTTATATTTGTGAAATACGTACATATTTGTACGTAAAAAAGAACATACTCAAAAAATAGCATATACTATCTAAAAATTAGTATATATACTACCTAATCATTGTTATATACTACATACTACACGTACATACTCTCGGTTTCGATAGATACTACATACAACATACAAAACGCAAGTGATGGTAACTAGCACTGCTTGTAGGAAACATTTGTCCTATATATATGAAAAATGGGTGTAACTACACCCGGTAGTAGGATGCATTTTTCCTACGCGCGCGCGCACACATATATAGATAGAAAGAGAGAGAGCAAAATAACTCAGTAGCTAAACCTAACAAAAGTTTTAGATTGGCTTGCATATAAATGTACACGGTATTTCAGTGTTTGACAAAATGCAGTTGCTATTTCTCCGGTTTCCTTGGCCTTAAAGGTGGTGTCTACGCGTCGCGAAAACAAACACCGGCCTCGTTGCGTTTGGCTAGACGGCTTTGCCTCGCCACGTTGTCCGCTCTTCCGGGGCTTTGATCTCATCGCCTCCAGCTCAAGGGCTTTGGACTCGTCGCACCGGCTCTACGTGCTCTGCCTCACCATAGCTGGCCTCGACGGCTCCACTTTGCCTCGCCTGATCTGAGGGCTCGGCCTCGCCGCGAACGGCTGTGGTGGCTACCATCATCACAAGTCCCTCCGTCCGACTCCATGAGTGGGTCGAAGGTTCAGGGGCTATACCCACTTGGTGCACTACCATTCCCTAGTGTCTACAAAAGATAAAAGAATCGGGATGTTTCGCAGGCGTCATTGAAGTCGGCTCTATGGAAGTTGGCGATCTCCAAAGACAAGACAAGACTAGGAGGTCGGATGCCCCACACACCATGTGTGGTTGGCTCCGGCTTCCCCTTGGGGCATCCGAGCCCGTATCAAGTCATTTCATGCCCCACAAGTGAGTCGACATCTAGATCTCTCTATTTTCCATAAGATAATGAAGTCTCTACACACGACTCCACAAGTCGTCAGGAAGCTTGGGATTACACCCATCGGTGTACTATCGTACCCCCAGTGTTTACAAAAGACGAAAAAACGCGGCACTTTGTAGGCCTTGCTGAAGCCGTTTTTCTATAAAGCCAGATGTCTCCAACAACAAAGAAGACATGGAAGTCGGACACCATGCTCGCCATGCACATCCTTGATTTTCTCCTAGGGTTTACGAGCCCTACACTCGTCATTTTTTCTTTAAAGAATACTCAGGAGTCCCTCAAGACCTCGCCAAATAGTGCAAGACGTCGCGCATGGTTCAACATCAACCCTGACACAACCATGTTTAGGACGGATTCGGGGGCTACTGCCGGTACAACATACCCGGGGTAGCCGACCTCCCGAGAATCCCGCGGCCCACCAAAAGGGCTCAACTTGTACCACAAGATACATGTATTGGTAGATCTAACATGACTCTATGTATTAGTAGATCTAATAGGACTCTACAATGTAAATCTGACTTGGATCCATGTAGCTCTACTTCTCATCCATTCATATAAGAGCATGGTCAATAATACAATCAGTTATATGATATTGCCATCTCATCTATAGTCAACCTTGTAGCTGGCAAGTACAACAGTAAGATGTAAAGATGTGCTACTTCATTAATACATGACCCACCATCCATTCTCAAGTAGTGCTTAGGAGCGCGTGCTACAACTGGCTCTTATTCTATAGCATGGTCCTCTTCTCTCCCCTCTTCTCCCCTCCATAGATCAGCAGATTTATTTTTAAATCCTTATAGCCTGCTTACATAAATTTATTGTACTTGCTCTAAGGGGATATAGGGGCCTCCCAAGTCGGCACTGACGATGTCTATCTCAGATCTCATACGAGACACCAATCTTGATCTCATGTAGTTTTATTCCGATCATCCATATACATACGACTTCATACGAGCTACCCTACCGAGTGATCTCCCCATATTATGGACCGACAATCTCGATTCATAATGGAAGGGTACAGTCGCCCTCCTAACCATCATACTCCCTCCTTTCCGGTTTATAGGGCTTATCTCAAAATTTTAGTTTTTTCCATTTTATAAGGCTCAATTTGGTTGTTTCCCACCACATGTTCAGATTCCAAGGTGCATTAAATCATTGCATGCAAGAATTGAGAGAAAATTGACCAATGCATGTAATTTATGCATGGCAATTAATGCATTGGTAAACATACTTTTTTGAAGAAAACAAGAACATTAATTGGGTGCTTTTGCAAACTTCAAAAGGTATTCCACCACTCACCATCTATCTTGGTTGGTGAGATCTTTGAATTGAGTCTTAGACTAGCCACAATGGTGAGTAACATACACTAGTAACATATACATATCCCTAGACTATGTTACTACCTCAATAGTGGGTAGTAAGGCTGGTCACAATGGGCAAGAACATAGTCTAGTAACTTACACACTTTCCTAGACTATGTTACTACCTCCACAGTGGGTAGGAACATCTATATAGTGTCATGCAACAATGTATTTATTAGGTTATAGACTCATTGTTTCTTGGAGTGTGTGATGTTCCGGTAACTTAGCTAGTTATCACAAGCACCTCTCTCTTCATTAAATATGTGACACATAAGCAAAGTTGTATTGAAGTGTGTGATGTTACTCTTAAGTTCCTCCCCATTGTGACCAGCCTAACATAAGTGTGGTAACATGCAAAGCTTCATTTATTAGGTTATAGACTCATATTGCATTGGGACATGTGATGTTACAATAACTAGCTAAGTTAATAGTACTACATCTCTCCTCATTAACTCACTGCCACATAAGCAAATTTGCTGAGTTGGACTCGATATTACTACCGAAATTACTCCCACTGTGGCTAGTCTTATAAACCGGAAAGGAGGGAGTAGTTCGCTGCTTTCTTTAGGGAATCCTACTAGTAGATCGCTGTTGGTACATGTAGATTTTTTATATTTTACAGTTACACATGGCGTAGAATTAATGGTCGAACGTCTGCGTAAGCAACCACAGCCTGTGTAGAGAAAATATCAGCACCGCTGATGAATCCACCCACCCTGCCACCGGCTCTGTAGTAATGCTACATCACCATTAACGACGTCGTTCTCAGAGCAGCCGGAGTGAGCTGATCGCCGTTCCCGTTCTCCCCAAGCATTTGCAATCCAGTACGAGTACAAAGCAACCACGCAATGCAAGCAACTCCAACGCCCTACACCACAACGACCCGCTATAAATAACCGGCGCAGGCAAACCGAACCCAAGCCACGCACGCACAACACAAGAAACCGCAGAAAAAATAATACCAAGCCGACCAATCATGGCTCGCCCCCGCCTCCGGCTGCTCCTCGTCGTCGCTGCCGTCCTCCTCCTCCTCCTCCTCCACCCGGCCCCCTCCTCGGCGGCAGAGCGGCTGGAGGACCCCCTCATCGAGCAGGTGGTCGGGGGCGACGCGGAGAACGAGCTGGAGCTCAACGCGGAGGCGCACTTCGCGACCTTCGTGCGGCGGTTCGGCAAGTCCTACAGGGACGCCGAAGAGCACGCGCACCGGCTCTCCGTGTTCAGGGCCAACCTCCGCCGCGCGCGCCGCCACCAGCGGCTCGACCCCTCCGCGGTGCACGGCATCACCAAGTTCTCCGACCTCACCCCCGACGAGTTCCGGGAGCGCTTCCTCGGCCTCCGCAAGTCCCGCCGGAGCTTCCTCAAGGGGATCTCCGGGTCGGCGCACAACGCGCCGGCCCTCCCCACCGACGGCCTCCCCACAGAGTTCGACTGGCGCGAGCACGGCGCGGTCGGCCCCGTCAAGGACCAGGTCCGCCTCTGATTCCATCTTTTCTTGGATTCGGTTGGAACATAGGCAGGTTGATTTGATTCCAGCCGATCTTTCTCTTTTCTTCAGGGTTCGTGCGGGTCGTGCTGGTCCTTCAGTACGTCGGGGGCGCTGGAGGGTGCCAACTACCTCGCCACCGGGAAGCTGGAGGTGCTCAGCGAGCAGCAGCTGGTTGACTGCGACCACGAGGTATCCATCCCATCTGCATCGCCTCGTAGAATTGCCCCGCTACTAGATTTTTCGTTCTTGGTGAAAGAGAAAAAAAAATGTAGGCACAATAGTGGGTCTACTGATTTAATTAATGTTATTATAGGTGGGTCAACTAAATTGATTAACCTTATCCACTTTGCAGTAAAGAATCAATAGACATTTGCTTGCTTGTACCCCAGAAAGTATTCCTAGGCTGTAACTGCAAACGCACCAACCAGATAAAATACTCCCAACTTCTCTTGTTCAATGTTTTGTGTTAATTGTTTTTGTTCAATGGTCCTAAGAAGTAGCAACTGACTAGTGATTACCGAAATTTGAACGAGTGGCAAAGCCAATATGCGGGCACAGGGGAACTATCCTCTCTCAAGCAAGATATTCCTTAAACAAAGAGGCAGTTCTTTTCTTTACGGTTAACTAGATAATTGCCAGTGCATTGCAACAGAGGGCATAAATATTCTAGTAGCTTAGTCCGTGATTCACCTGCCCATGTTAGTGTGATTGTTTAAGAAAAGTATGATTTTATTTGGGAAACCCTTATTTGGTATGATCATTTATTGGCTTACAAAGAAAACATAATTATATTTGGTAAGTCAATAAGAGGTGGGACAGTTGATGCCGTTTTTTCAGGAAAAACGGTGAAAAAATCAGAGATGGGAGGAAAAAAATAAAAAATGCGAGAGGCGAGGAGAGGGAGGGAGAAACGTAAGCCTTACGTTCTTTTTGAATAGGAGAGAAAACAATAGATATATTTCCACTAGAAATTTAAAAGCCTATGGATTCTGATAGAAGAACCTCAGTTATGAGGGATGCACTGGAAACGGTGAAGAAACGTAACCAGAGATGCACTAGAATTTGTTAAAAATATGTCAAACAATCATTTGGGGAGTGTAATACCTGAATTATTATCAACTGGAACAATCAGTCAGTCACGCCATAGTATTTAATTTTGTTACTGACAAGCAGCTTACTATATATTCTGTGTGGCCAATTAATCTTGGTTGGACCTGGACAAAATTCAAACTTACACCAATGAGGCGCTAAAACCATTTTCTGTTGTGTACTACGAACCGAGCCATTTGCCAGTCTGTAACTCTGTACACTCATTTCTTCCATACCTTTTTTTGGCGTTATGAATGAAGTCAATTGTCTGATGGACGACACTGACACTCAATTTCCCTCCATTTTGCAAACCATTTCACTAGTATTAGTATTGATACTATTGAATTTATTCCTGCTGGCTTCCTATTGATCCATGTTGTTCTCTTGTCATGGATTGCAGTGTGACCCGTCAGAACCACGCGCATGTGACGCGGGATGCAATGGTGGCTTGATGACTACAGCTTTCAGCTATCTCGCAAAAGCTGGTGGCTTAGAAACCGAGAAGGATTACCCGTACACTGGGAAGAACAGTGCCTGCAAGTTTGACAAATCCAAAATTGCTGCTCAAGTTAAGAATTTTAGTACCGTTGCTATTGACGAAGATCAGATTGCCGCTAACCTTGTGAAACATGGCCCACTTGCAAGTAAGAATCCAAAGCATTTGCATATTTGATCATTGTGTCTTCAGCCGTTAGTGATCTGCTTATGTATGTCATGGAAATTACTGTGGCTGATGCATACTTCCCTTCGCGCAGTTGGTATCAATGCAGTATTCATGCAAACGTACATTGGTGGTGTCTCATGCCCATACATCTGCGGAAGGCATCTTGATCATGGCGTTCTCCTGGTTGGCTATGGATCAGCTGGTTACGCACCGCTCCGCTTCAAGGAGAAACCATACTGGATCATAAAGAACTCATGGGGTGAAAACTGGGGCGAGAGCGGGTACTACAAGATCTGCAGGGGTCCGCATGTCAAAAACAAGTGCGGTGTCGATTCCATGGTCTCCACGGTTACCGCCATCCATACCTCTAAGAAGGAATAAGATCTTGTAGTACTCTCAGTCTGGATTGCCTATAGACATGCTTGTGTGCCAGGACTAGGTATTCCATGATGGTTATTCCAGTATTGCTTTGCAATTTGTAACCAGTAAATATGTGAAACTTCTCTTGATTGTTGTAATGTATCTCTGGGTTGCTATGTATTGCTACGCAGTTCTTGGAACATGGTAGCAGATATTTGTTGTCATCATTAATGTATATAATCTGGTGTTCTGGTTGATCATTGAATAAGTTGTGCAATGCCATGCTATAAATTAATAGTATGTCTGATGATGATAATGTTTCACTGGATCTAGAGGAGGTTGCCTTACTTCGTTTTCAACTTCTTTCTAAAAGAAGAAACATTCAAAAACACCAGAAATGATCTGTGTAAAAAGTAAATCGATAATG